AGATATTAAGTTTCCAGTTGTGGTTGAATTGACAACTCAGCTGCTAATACTTGAGAATATTCTTTGGCTCCCCTTATGTCGAATCAATAAATTTGGGTTGAATACTCTACCCTTGAAAACTGTTGCGATCCCCTATACTCGTGGGTTATCATGTGTCCATTGAAGTGCTAACTTAATAGTAGTCATTTACACATGATATATATATCATTGTTATTAATCTATTTTTTTGTCATAACAACATATGTGAGCTAACGTGCTCATTTTGATGCCATGACAACATTTTTGGCTAATTCTTGTTGTCGTGGCATCAGTTTTACTATGTAACGCAATGCATATGCATGTATTGCAAAGCAATGTTGTGGTAGCAAAAAATGTTGTCATAACAACATAAATGAGCCAAAGTGCCCATTTCGATGCCATGGCAGCATTTTTGGCTAATTTTTGTTGTCGTGGCATTAATATTACTATGTAACGCAATGCATATGCATGTATTGCAAAGCAATGATGTGGTAACAATTTTTTTTGCCACGACATTGTTTTTGCTGTGGCCTAAGAAGGTCACTAGTGCCATTTGTCTAAAAGGGCTCACCACTGATAGCCCAATACCCGCAACGGGTCTTTAAATGGCCCCGCCACTTGTACTTACTTACTAGTGGCGGGTGGTGATGATACTGCCACTTCTAGCCCGCCACTCTGCTGCTTGTAGGCCTTTCGTGCCCACCGTGGAGCTAGTTATGTAGTAGTGTCATTACTAATTCCATGTAGGAAATTGAACTAACAAACCGCCTAGAAAGCCTATTAGTAACTTGATCTAGGGGTTCAGGGATGTTGTTTTCTTCATCCAAGTGAGAGTTTATGAATAAATTTTATGATAAAGAGCGCTTTTACTAACTTAAAATCTTGCATCAAGCGGATCTAGAGCATGATGAGAGACACCAGTCACTGCATAACTAAGGTTTACATAGTCAAGCACCAACAACCTGATGAAAGAAAAATATTGGAAATCAAGATATAGATAATAGTAAAGTTGTACGTGATCGACACTATGCCTATGTCGAAGGAGGTGATCGATCAATGCAGAAATTATGCTCCCACCCATGTTGGGTAAAAATATCTTTGGTCATCCGCTCCAACCACATACACACTATTTTAAACATTGATTGGTACTCTGTTTTGTGTAGAGCATATCACGTACGAAAGTCAATGCGTACGTACAAAAGTAACAAGCATAGAAGTGAAGTTTTTGCCTTTAAAAATAATATCATTTCTATATAGTCAAAGCGACCATAATAAGGCGGATGCTCCCACCCTTACTAGAGTTCTAGACCTATTTTGAATTCCATTCATCCAGCGAGCATAAATATTGGCAACACCTATGGGCGAATACAAATGGGACGCTATTTGTATGACTAACCATGTAGAACACATAAACTTGCACTGAAAGAATATTTAATCAAGAATTGGCCTTGTGCATTAGTGAGACCCGATAATGAATCACAATTCCCAAATATTTAATCAAGAATTGACCTTGTGCACAACCGAACATGTCAGTATATTCAACAACCACCTCATTGACTTTTACGAGGCAGAACAATTCATTTTTATGAAAGTTAATTTTAAGACCCGACATTTCCGAGGCAGAACAATTCATTTTTATGAAAGCTAATTTTAAGACTCGACATTTCCTCAAAAAGGTGAAAGGAAGACCTTTAAGTTTTGAGCCTTAGCAAGTCGATGTTCCATAGAAAGAGTCGTATCATCGACATATTGCAAAATAGATAGGCCCCATCCACAAGGTGTGACACTACTCTTGCATCTTGACCATCTTGTTTGGCATGTTCAATCAGAATAGTCAACATGCCAGTAACATAAAATGAAGACATCAGGTGGCCTTGGCGTAGTCCCTTTTTAATCTTGAAGTACTGGCCCACGTTATTATTAGCTTTGACAACCACATTGCTTAAATTTGAATCAACTGGCATCATTTCTGGAAGAATCCTTTCATTCTCAGGTCTGTCAGAGAACCGACCATTTGACTTTATCACAAGCCTCTTCAAAGTCAATCTTGAATACTACTCCACTCATGTTTTGGATGCATCTTATGCATTGGTCTCATGTGGGATCGGTACTTCATCTAGTATATTTCTTTCTTGAGTGAAAACTGTTTGAGATGGCCGAACGACATGGTCAACAACTGTGTTGGAACTATTGGTAGCTACTTTGGTGAAGATCTCTAGGCTGACATTAACGATACATATGGTTCTATATTGTTGGACCCGTTGCTTAATTTTTGGCAACAAACAAGCTCACCAAAATTAAGCCTGGATAGGTCAAGTTGGCCGTCATGAAGAAAATTGAACAAGCTCAGTAGATCAATCTTGATGACATCCCAAAAGTTCAGATAGAATTCTACAGGGAAGCTATCAGGGCCTGAAGCTTTGTTATGTTATATTTAGAATAATATAGTTATCACCTTCTCTTCATAGAAATGTGTGGTGAGGATATCATTCTCTTCTTTCCTGACTTGTGGAATATCATCTGTTCTGGTGTCATCAAGGTTAAGTTCCCTTTGTCCAACACCCTGAACAGAGATTTCTTGCATTTGGTGATATGATATTTGAGCTCTGCTTGATCTTCAATTCGTACATCATCCTCTTGGAGACTAAAAATATGTTTCTTCCTATACCACCCATTGATGATTATTAAAAAATCTCGTGTATTGTTGTCTCTCTCCAAGATGAAGACAACTTTGGATCTTTGATACCATTTGATTTTCTCTTTTCGTAGTAGACGTAGAATTTTCTCATTGAATTGATTTCATATCAACATCTTATTGAGACAAAATAAAAAAAATTATACATGAAAAAGAAATCTGACTAGTGACAAATTGAAAATCTGTTGAGTCACAAATTGACAGCCTCTAAAGTCCGTTAGACAAAATACAAAATAAAATAAAATATAGAAACAATTATAAGAAAAAAAATAGAATAATCAGAGAGTCACTATTATTAATTGTAGAATTCGCAAAGAAAACCATTTGATTGAAAGTAACAACTCTTAACTTCAACATACGTAGAGATGCTAAAAAATATACAAAACAAAAGAGAATTAATATGTAGGCAAGGTGATGATCGTGCCATGAATGTGATTGTAAACTATTTATTACTCCATACGTCTTAAAATAAGTGTCTCAACTCTAGTGTACTAACTTACAAAGTTGAGACATTTATTTTGGAACGGAGTACTATTATTTCTAGATCAATGTCCCTGTAATTAAATTGCTCCTGTAGGCGTCGGGCTTGAAGATCAATTACCAAAAAACCTTGGCAGTGATGATCAATGGAGTAGCACGGGATCGGGAGCGGCTGGAGACCATTTTGCAATGCAACGTGGGTAGTTTCCCGTGCAGATATTTGGGTCCACAGTTGGCAATCCACCAACTAAGTAGAGCTCAATGGCAGCCCATGTTGGATCACGCGAAGAAAGCCGCTCTGGCATGGCAGAAGGGGATGATCCAAAGGTCGGGTCGGCTCGTGCTTGCTAAATCGGTCATAGCGGCAAAACCCATCCATCACTTTATGATAGCGGAGGCCCCGGCGTGGGTGTTGGAGGAGATCAACCAATGGATGCGTGCGTTCTTCTGGGCTGGCAAAGATAAAGTGAATGGCGGGCAGTGTTTGGTGGCTTGGAGCACAATATGTAGACCCACTTACTTGGGCGGTCTGGGGGTGAGGGATCTAAAGCTTCAAGGACTTGTACTTAGGGTGAGATGGGAGTGGTTAAAGAGGACGGACCTCATGAGGCCATGGCAGGGGCTTGCTATGTTGGAAGATAAAGACGCGAGAGAGGTCTTTGACAGCATGGTAAAGATTGAGGTGGGAGATGGTACCAAGGTGTTGTTCTAGAGGGATAGATGGATTCATGGATTTGCTGTGGTGGATATAGCACCCTTGCTCCATAAGCTGGTGGATACCCGTACCAGGAACCGACGTATCGGTGAGAGATGCCCTTGAGCAGGGAAGGTGGCTGCAGGATTTGAATGGAGAGCTCACATTCACGGGCCATATGCAACTACTTAACCTCAATCTAGCTATTAGTATTGTGCCTCGGGATCCAGATAGGACCGATTGCTTCTCCTGGCCGGCGGACCCGTCCGGGCAGTACACCGCCCGATCCACATACCATCGTCTGTGTCAAGGGATTCAGTGGGTCGCCTATACTTCTTGCATCTGAAAGAGTTGGGCACTGCTTAAGTGTAAAATATTTGTCTGGTTGGCGATCCAACATCGGATTTGGACCTCGGACAGGAGAGCTAAGCACGGGCTGCAAGAGCACTCTTCTAGATGCTTCACTTGTTTGCAGGCAGAGGACAATGCGGAGCACATATTGATTCAATGTGTTTTTGCACGGGAAGTGTGGCATGAATGCCTACAAGAGCTCAACTTGACCGTGGATCGGCCAACGATGGAGGATACTTTGCTAGAGTGGTGGTTGCAGGCTAGGAGAGGTTTCAGCAAAGAGCACAAACGCGGGTTTGACACTTTCGTGATTGCGGTCACCTGGGCTTTGTGGAAGCAGCGTAATGCACGGATCTTCAATAGAACGACCCAACAAAAAACACCTCTCCAGGTGGTTGGTGCGGTTCTGCGGGAGATCCAAGAGTGGAGGGAGGCGGGTCTAGGAGTAGGCGGGTTGTCTCGTTTTGTTAGAGAAGGCTTGGGCTTGAGTGGGATGTTATAGGGTGTGGCCATAGGTGGATGTTCGCATCCCCCGCTTGACATCTCTTGTAAATCTTGTTGCTCTTCTTCTATAAAGATAAGGTACGTTATTTGCGTACTTTCGAATTTTTTTTTTGCTCCTGTACAGTGGCTATCGTTGTAAGAATTTATTCCGATAAGGAGAGGTGGTCTGGTTGTTTGTGCTACCAAGGTAGCTGAAACTCGTGGCCGGCATTCACTCCATCCCTCTCCGTGTCAGAAATTATTTCTCGATCAAGCAAGATGAGGAGCAAGCGGCTGTGCCTGTGCGCTGCCGTCTGCTGGCTCCTCCTCGTACCACTCTTGGGCCCGTTCTCCGCGGCCGGGCGATACGATTCCATCTTCAGCTTCGGCGGCTCCTCCTCCGACACCGGCAACAACCTCGTCGTCTTCCCCTCCAGCGCCCGCGCCGACTACGTCCTGCGCCCGCCCTACGGCTCCACCTTCTTCGGCCGCCCCACCGGCCGCTGCTCCGACGGCCGCCTCGTCGTCGATTTCATCGGTACGCTATCGCTAGCTACCACTACGCACTACGTACTGCTCCCGGCCGATGTTAATTATTGGCTGTTCTTTGTTTGGGGCCGGATTAGTTAGCGCAACACCTGGGCCTGCCGTTCGTCCCGCCGTCGCTGGCGCACAACGGAAGCTTCCGCCATGGCGCCAACTTCGCCGTCAGCGGCTCCACCGCTCTCGACGCCGCTTTCTTCCGCCGCCTGCTTCCCCGCACCAGGAAGCCTCTCAACACCAGCCTGGGCGTGCAGCTGCGGTGGTTCGAGTCTCTCAAGCCTTCGCTCTGCGGCACAACCCAAGGTGGTCCAACTCTAATTAACCACGCGTTTCAGCCGGTAAACTGCAGAGTGACAGCGGATTTATCTCTAATCTACGTACGCAGAGTGCGAAACGTTCTTCAGCAGATCGCTCTTCGTCGTGGGGGAATTCGGGACCAATGATTACGGCATCTTCGTCGAGAACGGCGCGGCAGGGATGGCGCTAGTTCCAGATGTCGTCGGTGCCATCTCCATGGCCGTCGAGGTACCGGCCTCAATCGCCTCGTCAACACTGCAGGTTATTATCTTTATTATCTAGCCGCGCGCGTTGATTAGCACTTGAAACAGAGGCTCATCAAGCACGGGGCGACGAGTTTAGTGGTGCCTGGGGTGATCCCGTTGGGATGCGTCCCCAAGATCCTCACCGGCGACTATTGCCTCCAAGATTACAACAAGCTAGCGACGCACCACAACTTGCTGCTGCAGGAGGCCCTGGACAAGCTCCGGGTCAGGCACCCCGGCACCACCATCGTCTATGCCGACCAATTCGGCCCCGTCATGGACATGATGGAGTCGCCTGCCAAGTTCGGTCAGTCAGCCCAGCACCACATATTCTGTACGTAGCCCTGTTTACATGGTGTGCGCCGGTGAGGATTGTACTGATGCTTGCGACTCTGCAGGTCTTGAAGAGGACGCTCTTCTTACCCCGTGTTGTGGAGGGCCCGGCACGCTTCTCTGTGGTGACGACGGTGGAAACCTATGCCAGAACCCGTCGTCTCGCCTTTTCTGGGACGGTGTCCACCTCACGGAGGCAGCTTACCACTACATGGCTCACCTCTTGCTTCTCAGCATAGACGACACCACTGTAAGAGGGGCTAGCTACAGTTTGTAATCAAGGTGGTGCTAGGTACCTACGTCTCCAGACATCCAAAATTAGCCATGGTGCAGGGCGGAAGGCGTGGCTTCCGCCAAATGAAAATGATGCTACTAATTCAAAGCACACCATGCTTGCTTAGCTATAATCCTTGCAACTTCCGCCAAAGCTAGCTACCTTCCGCCAAATGAAATGAAGCATTTGAAGAGAAAAAAATTGAAACAAAGTGATTGAGTGGCTTTCGCAAACGTTAAGCATGCTAATTCTTCCGCTAAACCCCACTAGTAGAAAAAGGGTGCTTTGGTCCAGGCCGGGTAACCCCATTAGTCCCGGTTCAGTCCAGAACCGGGACCAATGGGTGCATTAGTCCCGGTTCGTGCGGCTAAGGCATTAGTCTCGGTTCACCTGGGCCCTTTAGTCCCGGTTCATGCCACGAACCGGGACTAAAGGGTGC